ATCAGATCGCCTAAATCCTTGCTTGCTTTTCTCTCGGAAATTCGAATTTCTCCAATGACGAGCGTTGAGGTTTCTCATCATCGGCATGACCGGAGGTTTAATTATCAGGGAAGTAATCGCAGTTTTGTGGCGGCAAAATCCAAGGAAAGTTTCATTTCTACGCCGCCTCGCTTGTGGAAGCAAAAGAATGGAAGCAAAGGGGTTGCCACCTCGAACGGCCGTCCGTTGTTGCAGAAAAACAGTAAGAAGGAGAAGGGCAGCGCCGAAGCCATATCCCGTTCACCGGCGAAAATCACAGAAGGTTACGCTGGATCCTCCTTCTTCACGTCACCGCCACCGACCTCCCTCCCGGTCCCGGCCTTCTTAACCAAAAAGGCTGTCGCTGCAGCTGGGAAGATCGTGGACGATGCTACGACTCATCTCTAGTAAATTATTTGACCCAATTCTTCAAAGACAAATTCCCTCTTGACTTGTTGCATATATAGCTTGTTTAGTGGTTTGGGCGCTTCTAGCTCTGCTTGTTACTCTATGTTCGTTGGGGCTGGGGGGCTTGCTTGTCAAAGGGGATGCTCTCCTTGTTATTGCTTGATTTAATTGCTCATTCTGTCTTGTGTTAGATTGGAGGGGTTAGATTGAGCTCCAAGTATAGCATACACTCTGAGATGGGAGTGCTTGGAATGGTGGTGATTCCTTAGGATTGAAAATGAAAGGAAAAGAATATGAAAAATATGTACTGGAGAAAGAAGTTTGGAAAATATGAAAGCAAAAATCTGGAAAGAGGTTTAAATAATGGGGCCGGGATTGGAGAGTTGGTGAGACCATTGCTTAGGTCGGGATCTTTAAAGCCCTCCCGGATTAAAACATAGTACGCTATGCCGTGGGGGGTTGAACCTTGGCCTAAGGGTGGTGGGGAGGGAGCCATTGCTCACATCGGGACTCTTAAAGCTCCCCCGGATTAAAACATAGTACGCTATGCCGTGGGGGGTGAGTCTTGGGTGTGAGGGTGGAAGGAGGGGAGTGCCATTGCTTAAGTCGGGTCCCTTAAGTTCTCTCGGGCTAAAACACAGTACGCTGTGCCGGTGGGGATGGGGCCTTGGCTTAAGGGTGGCTTAAAGGGTAGTTGGAATCCTACTTGAAAGGGCATCGGTCCCATCCTTTGTGTGGGACGGGGAGCTCAATCTTGACTATTGGTTTGTGGAGGTTTTGGAGAGTTGTTTGATTGTTAATGATAGGAATTACTTGGAGAGCATATCCTTGATTGATTTGAGCCTTGTTTGGCCTTGACATTAGAGGCATATTCTTGTATATATCTAGTTAGTTTGAATAAAGTAGAGCTAGAAAGCATTTCTGTTGAGGTGGTCAATTTTAGGCCATCTTTGTGAGACTTGAAGTTTTGATTTATGCATTCCCTTTGTTGAAAAAAAAAATACATACAGGATATGTAAGGATATGACGTATGTAGCTCTTCAATTCTGTATCTTTCTTTATTCACAATCTATTTAGAATAGCATATTGAAAAATTATGGAGTTTAGTTTACTTGAATGTGTATAATTACTTGATCTACTATAGTATGATCTATCACATTCAGTATGTCGTTAACCGGTTTAACCCGTTATGTTTCCTGTCTTTAACATGACAAGCCCTTAAACCTATTAATTTTTTAATTTTTTTTTTTTGTGTTAACCCATTTACACAGACCTTTTTATAACTTAATATAAAAGGAAAGTTAAAAGCTATATATAAAACCTTAAAGGCTTAGAAAGTTATGTTATTATTTTTACTATTATTGTTATGAATTTATTTATTATGATTTGTATATGAATATTATGAATTAATTTTTTTTTTAGTGTATTTGATGGATTGAAATGTAGGTTTTATTTCCCTTTTATATAACTTTACATCAAAGAGAATTAACTCACACCCAGACTTACATACATACATACAAGATGACTAAGTTCCTTTATTTTGTCCGTAAAATACATTATGTACATATGAATTGATTTAGAATAGCATATTGTATAGTTACGGAGTTTAGTTTAGTTTACTTGAATGTGAATAATTACTTGATTTAATATAGTATAATTTATCACTCACAATACGTCTGATCTATTCTATTGTCTATTTCATTCATCAATAAAAACTTATGTTATAATCTTCTTCATTATTTAAATACTTCATTCATACAATCATATAATTTCTAGATAATATTACAAAAAAAAAAAAAAAAAAAAAAAAAAAACAAAACAAACAAACAAACAAAAAATTAATTAGAAGCCAAAACTAAAAATAAATAATTCTCACATTTGAACTTCTACCTTTTTAATTAATTTAAAAATTACAAATTTACATATATTATGGAAAAAAAAAATGATTACTTTGATTTAAGATAAAATGTTTTATTTATATTTTTTTAACCTAATTTTGAATCACCACAGCTATTGTGATTTGCTAGAATAGGAAAAATGTTATGTAAGAAAAATATGCTTTGTTCGATCGGTTCCTTAATATAATCCTCGATTTCTATATTATTAAGTGACTAAAATACATAGAGTCTTAATAAGTTTTACCCAGTTGAAGTTCCATTATTGTTTTTGAGGGGGAGTTGAATAGAGTATGATTTGATTTAGAATACAGTGTAGCATATTTTATAATTATGGAATTCAGTCTAGTTGAACCTTTGTCTTTATAGGATGTAATTTGTAATTATATTTGTCTTTGTATCATAGTTTTTCACTTTTTTTTTTGAGACAGTATAAAGTGTAAAAAACCTACATTAATTAGAATCTTAAATTTTGAATGTTAGGTTGTTTACTTCAATTTTCTATACTACTCTGTCTAACTCTCATTTTCTTCAATGGTTAATTGAATGTATATAATATTGTTAGCTGAAGATCATGGTCCAAGATATAATTTTGAAAATTTTAGTCTTTCAATTATTTCAAACATAGCCAATTTAGTCATCTCGTAAAATTTCTCTTTAATAGTCATTCAAGACATGACTTTTTAGAAATTTCACAACCCACTAATTATTTGCACCAATTGGCTCATATTCTCTCATGCATATGGTGTTTGGTTGGGGAATGGTATGGTGTTAGGGTAGAAGATTTTGGCATGCCGAAGGATGGAAGAAATTGGGGGATTAAAAATAATTCATTAAACAGCGGTTAAAAGAAATTACAATTGAAATAATTGAAAGATTGAATTTCTTAAAATTGAAATTTGAAAATCAAAACTACATTGCATATCCGTCAAATCTTCAATAATTGAGGGATTGAAACTTGAAAGTGCGATTTTCACTTTTACCAAAAAAAAAAATGAAATTATATAACAATAAATAATTCTTGCCATTGAACTTCTACTTTTCAAATTTAATTACAAATTTGTATATATATAGGAAAAATTTTGTCTGTATATCAAAGTTTTTCACTTTATTTTGGTGGAAAAAAAATTTTGTTTTTTTTTTTTAATTTTATTTTTTCATAGAATTATAATGTGAAAAAACAATATTATAATCTTAAAATTTGAATATTAGGTCCGTTTATTTTAGTTTTGTATAGTACTCTGACCAAAATTCTGTTTTTCAATCATTAATCAAGAATACATAATATTGTTAACCAAAATTCTTTTTCAATCATTAATCAAGAATACATAATATTGTTAACCAAAATTCTATTTTTCAATCATTAATCAAGAATACATAATATTGTTAATCAAGGATCTTATTGATTGGTCCGTGATATAATTTGCCTATTTTATAAGTTCTATTTTTCGGAACTATAACCTTATTAAAATAGCACAATATTAAAAAAATTCTTGACATTTTAACATTAAAATTTCTTTCCAATACATAATACACAAAGATAGGAACTGTAACTTCTCCATTGTTTTAAGCATATGCCAAATCTCAAGCAAATAGTTTGTATTCATTTGAAGAACAAGCAGCTGGTAAACTAATACAGAATTAGCAAACCTGTAAATATAGAAAGCAATATATTCTAGATTTACAAATCATCACTCACTATTCAAATATTGATCACTTACTAGATTGACCTATATATTTATGTTTATATATTATACACACAACACATCCCTCATTGAAAACGTGCGCAGGTCCCGATTGATTCTCAAGAGTCTTTCCCTTTCAGCCCTCTTCTGTGCCCTTCCAACAAACAGCTTCTTTGATCCTGAGATTGATGACAATATGAAGAAATTACATTAGCATACAATCATATTCAAAACGTACGTGAGAAATACATACATATATAATAAGCATCAAAGCATGCACTGCACGTACCTATTAATTCACCATTAAGAGCCTCAATTGCCTTCCTAGCATCTTCATCCGAATCAAAATTGACAAAGCCAAAGCCTCTTGAATTTCCTTCTTCATCCCTCATAATGACAGCAGAATTGATCTTCCCATATCGGGAGAACTTCTCTCTTAGGAAGTCCTCTGTCATATTGTAACCGAAATTTTTCACATATAGATTAGTGAACTTTTTCTTTTTATTAAATGCATCCATCATCCTCTCTTATTTCTTCTTAAATGGGGACACATGTCTGAAAAACACCAAACAATTTTAACCAATTAGCTAGACTTTTTGAATGAAACAATACTCTGAACCCAAAATCTACAAGATGAAAGCTAAGAGCATGCAGGTTCCAAATTCCAAATTCAGAAACATATAAAGAAAGTTACACGAATTGAAACCTAACGGGTTCTTAATGGATGAACCCGTTAATGATCCCCGGGACAAACACTAACCAATTATTTTTGTGTAGTGTTAATGGAGGTTGTGTAATAATTGCCAGGTAGTAAAAAGGGAGTAGGCAACTTACAGCTTCTTCCCTTCAAACACTGCTCCATGGAGGGAACTGATAGCAGAAATGGCTGAGTTCTGTGTTTCAAAGTGAACAAATCCAAAACATTTGCTCTTTCCATTTTTCTCCTCCACGACTTTTCAGGACAGTATTATGCCATATTTGCTAAACATGCTCTCTAATTGAGCACTGGTGACGGAATGAGCAAGGTTCTTGACAAAAACATTCTCAATCCCAGCTTTTCTTAGCTCTGATTCCCTTTGCCACCACATAATCCTCATTGACTTTCCTCTCAGGGTTTTATGGTTTAGGCATGCTAGAGCCTTTGAAGCTGATAAAAAAAAAAACATAAATAATTATTTGCGAATTATAATCATTCAATCATGACATGAAAATATATGTTAACTTTAAGTAAGACCTAATTTTTTTTTAGGTGCGTGGAGCCTGTAAAATGATAGTTTATCAAAATTTTTTAGAAATATTTTTATTAAAGAAAATTCAATTTCTGAAACAAAAATTTATTTTCACTTTGTATTAAAAATTGTCCCAGAGCCCTCCAGTTCATATATAATCCTCCTATATTTTCTCTGGGAGTGGTATGTATCTTATCAGGTTAATCTCAATTTTACATTTAATGTTCATGTCTCCTAGTGATGAAAAACATCACCTTTTCATTATTCCCAAATACACCCCTTCACTCTCTACCGTTACCAGCCAAACTTTTGGGGACAAAACTGAAAAAAACACAACCCTTCATTGAGACCCACACTAACGTACTTGTCACCCAAGAAAGCATAGCAAAGAGATTAAACGCAAATAGACGTAGAAAATTAAGTAGGATGGTTTGGTTTGTTACCGTGAGAAATACAGGAGAAGTTGACGAAAGCATAACAAAGAGATTTCCCAGACACGGCGTCTTTGCGAATCCCGAAGGAATCCAACGGGCCAATCACAGAAAATGCAACCTCGAGGTCAGTTGCTGTGGTTTCCGGGTGAAGATCCCCCACGTAGAGAGTATGCCGCAGCCAAAGTGGTGACACCTCCGCCATTTGTGTTACTCCAGCACAGGATTGGTTAGGACACAAGAGTTTTTAATTAGTGAAGTAAGAAAGAGCTTTTGCTTCTTGGAGAAAGAGAGCCAAGTCAATAATGGTAGGAGTTTGAAAGAGATATATTATTTATAACGGTTTGTAGAGGTATTTTTGTTTAATAAAAAATACATATTCTTGATGGATTAGGAATACCTAATACAAATGGGCTTGGGAATAGCTATTCCCATGGCAAAGAGGAATAGCAGATTCTATGCCGTAAAAATCTAGAATAAATCTATTTCATGGAATGACATTTCAATTTTAATATATTCCACAAACCAAACGTCACATAGTGAGGTATCTAAACGACATCGTTTCATTTTATCAAGGAGATTTAAAAAAAAAAAAAAATTAGACTCCAAATTTGATATTATTTAATTTTAATTTTTTCATATAATATAAAATGGAAAAAAAAAAAAAAAAAACTACATTAGAATCTTAAATAATATTAAACTATTTACTTCAATTTTCTATACTACTATGTCCAACACTTTTAAAGACTTCAGTTTTCTATACTTCTATGTCCAACACTCTTATTGAAGTACTCCGTACATAATATTGTTGCCTTTGTTAACCAAAGGCCTTGTACACGATATAATTTTGTGTATTTTTTAAGTTCCATTTTTTGGGACTACATCCTTATCAAAATAACACAATATTAAAAAAAATTTCTTGATTTTTAGACCTAGTATTTAAAATGATTTAGTTTGCATGAAATATATATAGTGTTCCTTAATTAGTTAAAGTATTCATATAATAATAATGAGAGAGAAAATGCGAAATTAATAAAAGATAAAGAAATGCCCCAAAGTACTACAAAAAGTGAAATAGCAATCCAGTTATACTCCTGGGATTTCCTCAGTTCCTAAAGTTGAATAAATCTAACAAGGATGATAAAAGCTAGGAATTTAACATTGATGGCCAGTTAATTCATCATGTGGGCAAAGGATCGATAAAGGGAGAAGATTATTACGTCTGTTGCCTGGGAGAAGATGATGGTGCATGAAAAGACTCGAATACCCTTCTCAAACAGGACATTTAACGGGAGGAGTGACGGAGGACCAAAATTGTCTTCGTCACAATAAGTGTGTCCACAAATTGTCTGATTTTTTTATAAAGGATCAAAATTGTCCGTGTCACCATAAATCTAGGACCAAAAATGTCTTTTACTCTAATAAAAACATAAAGAAATTCGGAATAGCTAAATTAGAACTAAAGTAAGTAAAAACAAAGAAACCACTAACTAAAGATCAAGTCTTTGATATATGACTACAAAATACCATATGAACTTACTACTGTCAAAACTCAGAATCATTCGCACCCATAGCTTACTTGTTTGTGAGTCTCTCCATGCGCACTTGAATGTGGGCATTTTTTTGCATCTTAAAGGCATACATTCCAAATTCTCCATCAAATGATAGAGCAACTTTTTCAGCAATTTCTAATGCTTTTTTGTCCCATGGTGTCCCAGCAAGAGCAATTCCACCTCCTCCAGATCCATCGCCAAACTTAAAATCAAGAGTAACCAATTTAACACTATCTAGCACTAAACTTCCATATAAAAGGTAATCATGTGATGTCAAAATCTGTTAAACAATAATACTTACGAAGAGTTTAGCATCTTCCTAAAAACTCTCAACATAAAAGAAAGTATCATCATTATCATCCTCCAACAGCTCCTCTGTCTCATGGAAATCCAAAATACATTGATTATTGATATGGAAGAAAAAACTTAAGTAATAAAAATTATTGGAAACACCCCAAAAAGAATTGCTATTTTGTCACCTTAATTCTCTTGGAAAAAAAAAAAAGGGCTTAAAAATAGTTATTTTCTAGAAAATGAGTTATTTTCTAAAAATCATTTTTTTGACAATATTTTTCAAATTTCCAAACAGACCCTTATTTTGATTGTTTTTATCTGAATGTAGGGCTGTAATGAACAGGGGCTGGAGATATTGAACACTATATGTTGTAAGTATTTCCAGAAAATGTATGAAGAGATGGATAGAAAAATCAAATTTGTGATGAAGCTAGTAAACCTATATCGACCCTACGTATACTTCAAAGGAGTGTGAGTAATTAAATATGTAATTAATCATATACTTTTTAATTAATTTAGATCAAAAAATTAAGATGGTATGAATTTTGTGCACAGATATGACGATTTGAACACAGAAAAATTGAGAAGACCTGCAAAAGAAGGCGGCATTGAGACTGATTTGTTCTATTTAATAACAACTTTCGTTCGTCTCAGTTAAATAAAACACAAACAATTCAAAGGATATATGTCTATCCTCCCAGATCTGCGGCATTGAAAGACCAAATATATTTTATTTTATTTTATTTTGTTTTTGTTTTTGGTGAGTATTTGCCAAATTCATCTCTCTGTTGACAAAAACAATGAAACAGCAAACAATATCTACAACAGACAGTCACAGAAGCTCTTCACATGTTTTCTTCTGCCTAAGCAGACATAACTGGCAATGCAAGCAACTTCAGAAATTTCACTATATTTCACCAATTTTAGTATATTTTGTTTGGGTACTACTCTGCCTATAACATGTAAATTTCATCACAGAAATTGGTTCTCTCCAAGCTAATCACAGTACTAAGCATTCCAAACACATAAATTCAGGCAAAGCAGAAATCAATATAGAGATAGCAAGTGCTTCTTTGCAGCCATTTACTCAGCAGCAATGGAGTTTAAATCAACAAACCAAAATCAACATGGTAAGTCAAATATGCCATCCAAATTAATTATCATCTTTAATTTAATTTGCTACATGGTCTTGGTTGGTTCAGGAAAGAAAGCGCGCAGTAACTATCCATGTATCCTGAGATCTACTAAAAATGAAGAAACTTCCTGATACGACACATTCAGCAGGACATAGAAGATAGAACCAATTAAGTTTCACTTTCAAGAAAGCACAAACCAAATGTCATCATGACAAACATATACTCAACAAACAATAAAGAAAAAAGAATCAGATAAGCAGCCAAGATATAGAACAACTCAGTGGCACCAAGTACAGAGCATAAAATATGCAAGCTTGATTTTCTCAGAAAGAGAAACAGAACTTAATTAGTTCAACCCATTTTAATTGGAAAACCAAATAATTAACATCTCCTCTGTTAAAAATAAAGCTGAATTCCTATAAGAGACTACTTGTCACAAGGTTGAGGTACAAATGCAGCAACTTATATGATATAATCTACTTAGGAGAAATATCCAAATAATAGTTTCAAAATTAGGGCCAAATAGCAACTTTCCCATATCAAGACTCATAAGTCATAAGCCCAATGTCTACAACAAACACAAGTGCAATATTCACAAAATATGTGTATCTCTCATGATACACAGTGCTTTTTCTATTTATATCATAAATAACTTCTATTACACCAAGTTCTTTTGACCATAACATTAAACTAAGCTGTTCAGAAGAACAGGCAAATAACCCAAAATTAAGGAAACCACATGAAAATCAAGGAATTGATGGAAGTAACAAGACCTATCTATCACTGAAACTCTTAGAGTACATAAGAAAATATTTAGTTAAAGATTTTCTTTCCCAATTGCAGCTCTGAATTTACTGTTCAGATAGGACTGTTCGGAGTGGAAGTTTGCTTTCAACCTCCTTCACTTCTGCATTTCTTTCAGCAATAACTTTCGACATTCCAAACATCTGAGAAGAATTGTTATCCAGGATCAATAACAATGCAACATTCTAAATTCAAATATTCATTATAGTAACAGTCTCAAATAATTAGAAATTCAAAACAAACCTTCTGCATAGTTTGTTAGATATACAATAGTCTAACTAATACTGAACAATAGTATACGAGAAACCTGACCTCGTATGATAGCGGAAGCGTAGCCGTGTTGATCTCCAGCCATAGTTGAGTTGAGTTGCCTCTTAACGGTAGACCGTTAGCCATGTTTTGCCTCAGACCTGACTCAGAACCCTAGATGGTGTATTGGTGTTTACTGAGCGGTCTGAGTACCGTAACTGAATGTGCTATCTAATCCATCATCTGTATCCTATCAATCCAGGTTATATTAGGCACAGAGTTTGGTTGACTAACAACTACTAGTTATTAAGTCCAACCAGACCACTTAATAAGCCTAGTCAACTTGCACCACTTAATTAAGGCCCTAATATATAATATATAATATATATTATTAGGGAAAATCTTACATTCTCCCACTTGGTGCAGGTACTAGCACAACCATCATCAAAGAACAAAACACACGAATCATAGTGATATATCCTCTATTTAATCAGAGTAGTATCCATTATGGTCACATGCATTTTAATTCTCCAAAGATACATTTTATTATTAAATCAGAGTAGTATCCATTTAGTATCCATTAATGCTCAAAAGATACATTTTATTATTAATGGAATCCAAAAGATGTATGTTAAATCACATAACTTACTACAGTTAGTCCAAAGAACCGAGCAAGATCCGCGGATCAATTAATAAAAGTTGGCTAAATTTTGGGAAGTGACTGAAAACATGTTTTGCCAATGCAAACCATGAAACTTAGAATTATAATTGAACTGAATTTATAACTCTAAGAAATTGTGATAAAATCATTATCTAATGGGTCGAAGGATTTATTGACATAAAACATGCCTGTGGGCCAAAGTTTTAATTCTATTAAATTCAATTAAGAAACCCTTACGATAATATTTTTCACAATTACTAAAGAGCCAGAAGAATCTAGTGACATAAAACTTGCCTGTGGGCTAAAGTTTTACTCAATTAGATCCAACTGAAAAATTTTATTTATGATGAAACCATTATCAAAAGAGTTGAAGAATCAAATGACATAAAACTTGCCTGTAAGCAAAAGTTTTAGTCAATAAGATTCATTGCTATCATTATGATAAAAAACTTAAGAGATCATGTTCCTTTTCTTAATCACTGTGGGCAAATTAAGAAATATGATCTAAAGTTTACATCATAAAATTAAACTTCATGATAGAATTGGAAATCATTTACAAATAACCATAAAGT